AAAAAAAAAGTATAATATCAGAAAATATTTTGCGTCTGCAAATAAATATTTTTAAAGTCAATAGACATCCTTTGAGCAGTTTTAGGTTTACAGAAGAATTGAGTCAGAAGCCCAGAGTTCTCAGATACCTTACTCTTACCCTCCCAGTTACCCCTGTGCTATCTTGTATTTTGTGGTAGTATTGTTTTTAAAAGAAAACATACTATTAACTCTGATGCTTGTTCATGTGTGTGACACCAATGTTGCTTAGAAGACAGTTTGGGGGCCAGATGTGGTGGCTCAAGCCTGTAATCCCAATACTTTGGGAGGCCAAGGCAAGAAGATTGCCTGAGCCCAGGGGTTCAAGACTAGCCTGGGCAACTGGTGAGACCTCGTCTCTACAACAAACCAAAAAATTAGCAGAGTGTGGTAGGCCGAGGCAGAAGGATCACCCGAGCCCAGCAGGTTGAGACTGTGGTGGCCATAAGCGTGTCATTGCACTCCAGCCTGGGTGACAGAGTGAGATGTCTACTCAAAAAAAAAAAAAGACAGTTTGGGAACATTTGAGACAGATGTGATTTTTAGTTTCTTTCAACAACTCTGAAAATAAGGGGTTTTTCCTTGCAGGAGGACAGACATAAGAAAGGGACAAAGCTGTGAAAAGCTGTTTATGAGACAGTTTGCTAAGTCATCGCCTGCAGGTCATTTGTCTCGAAGCATCTTCTCTCTCATGTCATCCTATGTGATACAAGCAATCCCGTGAGTTGCTGCTCTCCTCTGAAACACGAGGAATACAGCTAAGCATGGGAAACAGACTTGCCCACAGTCATGCATGAATCTCAGAGGAAAGAAAGTAGACTTCCTGCTCTCCAGCTGGCCCTCTCCACTGGCCAACACACTCACCAGGGTGGGCCCAGAACACTGCCTATCTGAAGATCATTCCGGGGTGTGCCAGGAGCTCAAAGGAGGCAGCTGAGGGCCAAGGAAGGAAAGTTCTATTTCAGAGAATCCATAAATCAACCTGAATAACCCAATTCCCTCCATGAAGGAATTAACCAAAAATGAGATGTGTTCAAAAAGAATCTGAATAAACTCCTGAATAACTCCACATTATTCTTCAGATATGCTCTGTGAACAGTCATGTCCTTCCAGTGCCGGAGAGATTCTGGACTGGTCCCAGCTTGAATAGGCAAGAGGATTGCCTGAGCTCAGGGGTTCAAGACTAGCCTGGGCAACTTAGTGAGACCTCATCTCTGCAACAAACCAAAAAATTAGCGGAGCACGGTTGTGCGCACCTGTAGTTCCAGCTACTTGGACGTCTGAGGCGGAAGAATTGCCCAAGCCTCAGCTTCCCAAAGTGCTGGGTTTACAAGCTTGAGCCACTGCACCCTGTTGTTTTGTTGTTGCTGTTGTTGTTGTTGAGATCTCACTCTGTCATCCAGGCTAGAGTACAGTGGCATGATCACAGTTCACCACAGCCTTGAACTCCTGGGCTCAGGCAATCCTTCTGCCTCAGCCTCCCACGTAGCTGAGACTACAGATGCATACCACCATGCCTGAGTAATTTTTTTGAATTTTTTAGAGACAAGGTCTTGCTATGTTGTTTAGGCTAGTCTCAAACTCCTGGACTCAAGCAATCCTCCTGCCCCAGCCTTCCAAAGTGCTGGGATTACAGTTATAAACATGCCTAGCCAATAATCTGATTTTTAACTTTTCATTTTGAAATAATTTCAAACTTACGAATGAATTGCAAGAATAATGCAAAGACTTTCCTGTATAGCCTGATGAACAATTCTTAACAAGAATAACCATTTTAAAGTCTCTTCCAGCCAGGTTCAGTGGCTCAGTCTGTAGTCCCGCGCCTTTGGGAGGCTGAGGTGAGTGAATTGCCTGAGCCTGCAGGTTCGAGACCCGCCTGGGCAGCGAGACCTCATCTCTACAATAAATCAAAAAATCAGCTGGGCGTGGTAGCACGTGCCTGTAATTCCGGTTACTTGGAAGGCTGAGGTGGAAGG